TTTTTCTTGATTCATAGAATTCAAACTCGGATTTTGTTTAAAGGAAAAGAAAGAGAGAAATTGAGAAAGAATTAAGCTATGATTTGTTGCCAAAGAAATTTGTCTTTGCATACAAATTATAGTAATTAAATATATATAATTTTTCACAAGAATTTTTCTATGTACAGGTCAAGGTATTTTGAAAACTAATGACTTGTTCACTTTTTAATTGAGACTTAGATAAGCAGTTGTTTAAATTTACAATTCACTAGAAAATTTATTTTTTGGTATCTTCTTTATAGATTCAAACATGAGAAAATCTCTTTTATTTAACTAAACTAATCAATTACCTGAAAAATAATAAAAGACTTCATATTGACAGATTGAGTCAGGCAATTGGGTGAGAGTTAGTCCATTAATTAATTATTTTTTTGATAAACATTAATGAGAATAAGATTTGTCATTAGAGCAATGGAATTTAAACTAAACTATAAAATTCAATGTATACCATTTATAAACTCCTCATCTCTTAAAACATTTGTTCTCCTTTATAAAGTTCGATCAGCTCATTCACAGAAAAAATCTCTTAATACATTTTACAGAGGCAGCATATATATGATTTCTCCACAAAGTCAGGCTCTTTGTCTCGGAGGGAAGCCCCTTAATTTCGTGCTTCATGAATCAGAAGTTATTCTTCAGCACTCAGCATGTAACGAAGTGATCTGCGCACCTTCTCATTCCATAAAGACGTCTTGTTCAGTCCAGCTAGTTAAGGACACACATTTTCCATTACCAACAGACTATGGTAACTTAGAAAAAGTTCATTCTGATCATAAATAATAAACATGTATATTGTTTGTGCTGTTGTTGTTAGGGTGTTGAAATAATGGGGGGTTTCTAGTTGTAGTTGATGTTGGTATTGTGGGGGAAGTTGGGAGGGACTTTTCATAGATAGAGAGAGAGAGAGAGAGAGAGGACTGTGGATGAAGTAACAGGTGAGAGTGAGTGGAAGGGACGGGGGCCATGATAGTTTTTCTTTCGTTTCTCTCTTTTGCAGGTAAGGTAAATAAGGGTGGCCCGAGTGGACAGATATTCATAATGTATACAGAGTACAGACAGATGTATATATAGATACACATATATATAGCTTATATTGGAATTTGATTTGGCAAGATTTGAGAGGTTCTTATCTTTTTCATTTTTTCAACTGTCATAGACATGTGTTGACATGGATGGAAGTTTACATGTACCCCACCACTCATTGCCCCAAAGACTTCCTCTTCCCAACAGAATCCCCCTCGATCATTTATTTTTTCCTTCTCTTATCAACGTCCTTTACCAATGGAACTAGGGGCGGCAGGTGGGGGCTGCGGGCTGCGGCCCCTCCAGAAAAAAACCTAGTTAGAAGACTCTGTTCGGTCCGACGAATCTATTCGGAGCCCGGTGTAAATTAATGTAATTTTTTTTTAATCAAAATATATGGAATCATTATTTTTTATGTTAAAGGTTAGGTTAACCTAAATCAATGTAAAAATATTTTTTTAAAATAAAAATAACATAAACTCTTTTTTAAGATAAAAGTTAGGAAACTTAAATCTTGAATAAAATAGAATTTCATGTTAGTCTTATAACTATATATATATATATATATAAAACCCCTCAAAACTAATGAAAAAAAAAAACAATTCTTATAGAATTATAACTATAATGGCTGATTGATATATAGATCATTCAAGTATAAAATAGTTTCTTTTTAATTGAAAAAATGCTTTCTAGCCTTTAATATACAATTTCTAACTTTTAAAAAATAAATAAAAATAATAATTTTGACATATTTTTTTTTAAATACCCTACACTATAATATGATACGTTAGAATATGGAATGGATGAAATGATCAGAACGGCTCTTACTCAATTTTTGTGATGGCAAGGATCCATCAACTAACATGAACCCATAGCTGAAATTGCTTGGTGGCCATTAGGCTCCCATAATTAAACATACCAATAGAATCTCTCTCATTTATTCATATCAATGTAGAATCGGAGCATGACATGATGAGGCAAATACCAGCTATCAACGTTATTGTTGTAAAAAAAGACACTGGGTTTCAGATTTCAAGTGCTACCTTTACCAATTCTCATTGATAGTGTAAAAAAGAAAGGACTTATTATAGTGTTTCCTACTACTATCCCCATGTTGGACTCTTGAAGCAATTTCTTTATAATGATGCTTACTTAAATAAGTGAACAAATAACTATATATATCCAACTTTGATTGATCATCATATAACGAGGACAACAAAAGCAGCAACCACGACCACTTTCTTCGATAATTGTTTTATAGGCCGCCTCAGAGCTCCACATCTCCATTACTATATAATTAAGCAAACTGAAATTACAACATCATGGAGTCTGAACTACGCAAGGAACTTGGCCAGAGCCAAAGCCATGCACATGCACACTCATCAAAAACCTTATTTAATGGCAACTCAGAAAAAAAAAACTACAATCAATATTAATTATGACAATCAGAATTGCCTGTTTTCTTGGAAGATATATACTATATAGTAATTATACCATCGACTGTTATAAAAAAAATTAAGAAACAGCATACAAATAAAATTTCTATTCTTCAAAGACGTAACAACATGTTAGTGCACATTGCAACATATTGAAATTTGCAAGCCCCGTATAAATATTCTAAAAAAAAAAACACCCCAAAGAATATAAATCTCACTGGTTTAATTTTATGATTTTTCCAAAATCATAATTACCTTTTTTGAAAGAAATTAATATAAATTTATAATTTATGATTTTTCCAAAATCATAATTACCTGTTTTGAAAGAAATTAATATAAATTTATGACAGCTTTATAGAATATCCTTGTATGTGAAGTTTGGGGGGGAAAGAAATCTAAATGATGGGGCCAATATATGATCTATACATTTTGAAATGTATTTTTGAAAAGTATTTTTATTAAATGCTTGTTAAGGAAATAATCAAGATAAATATTATTTTCTAATTGATAAAAGAAAGAAATCAAAAAATTGATCATCATAATTTGTAAATTATTTATATTATCTAATCAAATAATATGCTCAAGAATTTTATATAATTTATTTTATTTCTAATTGAAGAAGATAATAAAATAGAATTTTGTGTAAAATTAGAAGACTTCACCTAATGTGACAGTCATCCTGTCTATATATATGAATAAGACAATATACAGATTATAAGATAAACCATGCTACACAGATTAATAACTTTATACAAGGTAAGCATAATATTTCTTATAATATAGCATATATATATATATATATCGTACTGTATTGATATATATGAACTCTAATTGAATGTGAAATATATAATAAACAAATTATCGAATAATATATATTCTTTCTAATCTAAATTTCTACCATGTAAATATATCACGGTATCTAATTAATGTCATAACTTATACTATCGAAAGTGAAACTTGAATCATTAATTAAGGATAAGATCGACCAGTCATACATGATGTATATAAAGCCGAAAAGATTATCAAGAATTTCATAATTTGATAATTCAGGTACACTAAAATAAATATCCTAATGACATGAAAAGAAAGATAAAGAAAATTACCATCAAGCTTTGTAACTAAGTGCTACGTTTTTTCTTTAAAAAAAGAAAGAAAGAAGAATTTTTTTTCCATATTTAATTTGATTTCATGGCGGCTACAACTGAATTAAAATTATAGAAATCTTCTTCGCTTAATGTATGTATGTGTATATATATATAAAACAGTGTAGAGTGCATGTGAGCCCTTTGAATGCATGCGAGCCCTTTTCAGATACTAAAAATATTCCTCCATTGATTAGGACTCCTAGCATCGGGGGTCAAGCTAACCCTTGGTTTAATGGGAATCCACCCTTTTGGTTTCTAATAGTTAAGCCATTTTATGTTTCCTATATCTAAACCCCAAAACAAAATTTTTACTTGAAATAAGGGCCTTCACAAACACTAATGATCTTGTATAAGGTAACCAAGAGGCTCCCTTCACCTCTAATTTCATCAATTTGCAATATTTGACAAAAAGTGCGCTCTGCCCTATCCTCTCCTCTCATTTCTTGCTCAAAGTGGAGGATGCAGACAACATTTTCACCACATCACTACCTATGCATCAACATCAGACGTCATCTTTGGAATGCGGGATTGAGTTTGGATTGCGTGTTAAGATGGCATTAAAGAATTCCTAGCAAATAAACAAGTTCTTTAATCTCCAACATGAACGTGTGGCACCAAAAAACGTGTTTGTTAAGCAAAAATATATACGTTCTTCTTTGTCATAATCGCATAGATTTTTACATACGAGTTATATATATGTATATCCTAACCAATTAGTCCACATTCAATCCATATTAATTGCTAATTAGCTTTTGAAACTTGATTGATCAGTTTCATGATTAACAGGTTATCTTCAAGATCATTCTAACCCAACCAATTATACACAGGCAATATATCACTAAATTTGTGACAAACATGTATTAGATTAATAGTCAGTCAAAAACATTATTACCCCGAACTTTTATAGCTAGTATTAGTTAACAAAATGCATACACGCCATCACATACTCATCGCATTTGTATATATTAATTAACGATTAGGAATATCATCGGACGAGCTTCTTCATATCGATACTTCATTTCTTTTGTGTTAAGTTTTAGATTAAGGTATTCGTTTTAAAATTCATATATTTAAAAATATATTTCTTGTTCTTGATTCGTACTTGAATTTAAACCACAAATTAATGATATTTATATCATTTAAACATAAATGTCATTACTTTATTATTTAAATTCATTCTAATTCATTGGTGTTGAGCTATAGTTTTAATGGTAGAGTATAGTTTACTTATTATATATAATCCTAACCCCACTTACACGGGGGTAGGAAAGATTAACCCTCACTGTTATTTACCCAATTCATCCATTGGCCTAAAGAAAACCTCATATTATTATATGGTAGACAACCCAAATATTCCCTTAATTATTGGTTCGTACTGTTGCTTGTGTGTGTGTGAGGGAGATAAGCAGTGACTGTTCAAGTCTTTTACTTCTGTAGACACTATAGACATCCTTAAAGAAGATGGAAAGGAATAATTACCAGGAAACATTCCTTTCGGCCTTTACTTGTTGACCGGACTAGTACATGGTGTGAAACACAAAAGCAGCAAGACCAACAGCTTGCGCTCGACACTTATGCACCAAATAAGCCAACAAGAAGAAGAAGAAGAAGAAGCACAAGAAGGACAGAGAAGCTTTTTGATCAGAATGGATCATGGAGAAAGAGATGTTCCAAATTACGAGCTACATGTCTCTTTCTCAACACCACAAGCAATCCATGAGATGGGTTTTGTTCAATTTGAAGAAAACCAGGTCTTGAGCTTCTTGGCCCCTTCCCAATCTTCTCAGATATCTCAGCCTCTAAATGCTAATACTACCACAACCAACAATACTCACATGGGGTTTAGCCATAATGACCAGCAGGTATGTATTTTTATCTATTCTGTAAAGAAAAATCTTGCACAGAAAGACTAGGTTTGTGAGATCCTTAAAACTATTTGTGTATATCTTTTTTTTTTTCCGAATAAGAACTGGACCATATCTTGATTTCTCAATTAGTGCCTTCGATGGTAGATTATATCTTTCCAATTTTACAAGATGCTTTACTCATGGAGTGCTTGATTGGTTGATCTTTGTACTGTATTCTGGTTATGGAAAATTTAGGTGGGAGCATTGGATCCAAAGGCTTCTAGTGATGAGAACTGCACTGGTAATAACAACGATGGCAACAATTCATGGTAATGGTATCCTTCTCCCTGTGGCGTGTTTCTGTTTTTTTTTTTTTTTATTCTGTTTCAAGGAGCTTTAGGCACTTCACTCTCTCTCCACAACAAGGACAAACATGCACGGACACAACACACACATGGAAGAAATTATTCTTCAAGGTGTCTAAATTTCAACAGAATCTAAAGAGATCTACTCATCATATATGTGGAAGAGATAAATGGCTTCCACTTTGCCACAGTATGCTTTTGTCTCTACAATTGTACAGAACCTCTCCTTTTTTCTTCTGTTGAATCACAAAAGTCTTGAAAATCTTGATGCTCAGATCTTCCTGTCCATCGATGGATTTCTTATCCCCCCTCATCTATTTAAATAAACACAACTGCGCTTAGCCCCCCTCATCCCCGGTTCATGAAACGGCTTGATTTTTTCTTTAATTTGAACCCTTTTTATGAACCACGACAAAAAGGCTGAGCTAGCTAGGATCTGACATGACCTTCTTTGCAGGTGGAGGAGCTCATCCGCAGACAAGAACAAGTTGAAAGTGAGGAGAAAGCTTAGAGAACCAAGATTTTGTTTTCAAACAAGGAGTGAAGTGGATGTTCTTGATGATGGTTATAAATGGAGGAAATATGGCCAGAAAGTTGTCAAAAACAGCCTTCATCCAAGGTAAATTTATTAATAATCTCTATGGTAATTCCAATATTAATTAATGTCCTCAATCTTACACAGATTCCATGCACACTTGAACCAATATTTGCTATGAATGGTTGTTACAGTTGAATCTTCATTTCATGCATCACCTTCAAGTTTCAATATAATTAGCATTACATAACAAGTACTAATTTAATTTCTTGATGCATGCTATGCTTAATTTTTTTCTTACTTTCCTTTTTTCTCAGAGAAAGTTATGCATAATGTTTTGATTTATTAACATAGGTTAACAAGTTATGCATAATGTTTTGATTTATTAACCTAGGTTAACTATTTTAGAAACAATAATAATGGCATTATTATAGAATATCATAGCAAAACTCACGAACAAATTGAAGCAATGATGGTCAATAATTTCATTCAAAGACATCCACTAGTAGAGAAGAAAGAATAATAGGAGTACGGTGTGCATGTCAGCTATTCAGGCCTCTTTTAATCATTTGTTGGGGGGGGTGTCAGGAGAATATATAGCTAGCCCGCTTAAGACACAAGCAAGCAACTAACTGGGAATTGATGGTAGTAATTTATTTATTTTTTACCTACTAATTTAAGAGTAGATATGATTAATTTACATGAAATATAATGCAAAGAGTTTTTTACTGTATCGTTTTTAACCAGCTAGAAACCCTCCAAGCTGTTCCATCTTTCGAACAGTATTTTACGATCATTAACATACTCTTGAACATTAGAAGGAAAAAAAAAATGTTCTCACATGTTTAAAAACCAATTTCTTCAAAATCTTGGAATTAAAGTGTGTGTTTATATATATATATATATCAACTTAAATGTTTCTCCCATTAAAATGAGGTTTCAAAATTAATTAACTTATCAACAATGTCTTTTATGAAAGCTATTAATTAAGTTTGGAAATTATAGAAACTCGTCATTCTTTTGTGCTTATATAACTTTTTTATTGAAAGAGAAGATGAGATAGTAAAATTTGAATTCCAGACTATTTAGTTAAATGAACTTTAATAGCATGCCATAGGAAATTTAAATTCAAAAAATTAAACTCATAAGATAAAAAAAAAAACAATTTTACAGTAATAATTCACTGCCTCACCTATATGCACTCAACATACAAAAACATGGACATTTCCCTCCAAAATACACTTGAGGTCTATACTTGAGATTACTAACTACTACAACATCGGAACACTTGTATTAAAAAAGATTTGTGAGTTTGATATTTAATATCGATCCAAACTAGCTAGTAACTTAATTAAGTAAATTTATTCATATATGAGAAGTACCCATCACCTACATAAGGTTAGGCTTTCAGATTTAAGGTGTGTTTCATCCGTGTATATATAGAACTTCAATAATTGTGGCCTCTCCTGTTGCGCCTATTTTGTAGAGCGAGACAGGGATAGGAAATACCAACCTATTGAGATTGCATGAAGTGTCATCCAATAAGACAATCGTGTGGGGGGCAACAGTACTGACCCAGAAGAAAGAACTGAGTTTCTGATTTGCTTACCAATTTAACCAGCTACTTCTAAAAGCCAGATCGTTGAAATACTTTGAAAAAGGAAACGCAACGCACGAAGTCTTTTATGTTGTGTTTGTGCTGCATAGACTATTATTACAGTTGTTCCAATGTTAAACTAACAACCAGCCTAAACGCATAAACCCAAACTAGTACTGGCAATGGAATTAGAGCATTCAAACTATATCCTGTTCAAAATGGTTTGAATAAACCTATGATCTTTCAACTTACAGCCTATAGCTATATGAGTGTTCGTGTTTTTGAAAGATAATTAATGCTTATTGCTGATAACGTCTAAGATGCATGTTTCAGTCAAGGAATAACGAGCATACTGGAAAGCGGCAAGTGTCTCGGCTGAGTTAGACATGTGTTGGGGCCAGTGATCTAAAGGCAGACTTGACCTAAAGGTCTTTTAATTTGAGATAAACATCTATTCCATGCCTTTTGAGCACCAAAACACATTGAAAAGACACATTTCAGCGTTGATCCGGTTCAATGCCCTACTACATGACCAGATCATGGAGTAAGGACTGGATCAGGTGTTTCAAGTATCCAATTCAATGTAATAAATTAAATATCACATGGAAAAATGCACGTAAATCTGAAGGTGTTTGTCCAGTAGTAAATCATGCATTTTTCCATTTTTTTTCCCAATCTACACCTCACATTTTGCACGAGTATTTCACTTTTCATGCATTTATATACGGGGAAACTCCTTTGGGAGTATTGAATTGAAAAGGTTTTTTCTATTTTATTTCTTAACTCTCTGTTTGTAATTACTTACTGGCAGAAGCTACTATCGTTGTACTCACAACAACTGTCGAGTCAAGAAGAGGGTTGAAAGATTATCAGAGGATTGTCGAATGGTGATAACAACTTATGAAGGTAGACACAATCACTCTCCATGTGATGATTCCAATTCATCAGAACATGAATGTTTTTCCTCTTTCTAATTAATACATACTTTAGTTAAATTATTAAGAAAGACTGTTGTAATATTATTAGAATAAGAATATATAACGTATCATCAGCTTATGACAGTATTTGCTAGTAAATGGTTTTGAGGGGTTTTCATCTTCCCAAGATCAACCATTTCTGACAATTAATACGTACCTGTTGATATATGACAAGATGTATTCTCTATGTGGACTTTTAGAAGACTGACAACAATTTGGCTTGAATCAATCCATTTATGGAGGAAACTCTATCACAGTACTATTACAGGAGTAGTAAGAGTTTTCGGTACAATTCCTATTGTGTTTACAATGTTGTAAGTTCGAGGTTGGTCTCTGTGATGGACTCGCGAATGCTCAAATCAGAATTCTTGCATGAAAGGTAAGATCCTATAACCCCAAAGGATTGGTCGAATAAAAACCGTGTTATATGCCTAGTTATAATACATTATTCAGTTTAGGAAGTCAATTCCATAGTCAGATAACTTGTTGAGTTAATGAAATATCTATTTTATTTTATTAAAATATTATTTTAAAAATTTCTTTTATAAAAAAATAAAAGATGGAATTTACTTGATCGGTTTAAAATCAATTGGGACTCAAGTCTTGAGCTGAGTTTATTTTTAAATTAAGTTTTATATATAACCATAAATAAACATATAACGTATATTATTTTGGGTTTTTTAAAAATAAAAAAATCAGATTAATTCAATTCAATTATTAACCTTAATTCATGAGCCAAACTTTAATTCGAATAAATCCCAAATCAATCTTATATGCATGAAACAATACAAATCTTACCAAACCTACGAGGCAAGGCCTCAGGAAAATTTATTTTTAATGGAGATTGGAGGTTGAGGTAAATATAATCTCAATATGTATAAACAGGCTCCACGATTGCACCGCATTGCCAAATTTAAAAAATATATGTATTGTCGAAGATTAATTGGTCATCATAGTTCGAGACGTGTAACCATTTATTGGGTGGAGAAAAATAATAGGCACATGCTGACAAGGCCTTAAGGCCTTGGCCCACATTAACAAGGGCAGAATTACCAAAGCCCATCCATAAAAATAATGGTTAATGGCATTGTTTCGTCCCTCTACTCATTAGACTTTCTTAATTTGACCCCTCTACTCTTTTTTATCTACTGGGCCCTTTGACTCTCGGTGTTTTCTTAATACGGACCCTCCGATGGAATTTCGTTTAATTTTCCGGCAACATGTGACAGATGGAATGACACGTTGGAAATGGTTCTTGCTTCAGATAATGGCTGACCTCAAAATCCCAATGGGTCTTGGAAATGGGTGGACATTCATTTCTGATTTAAGGTGATGTGTATTTACTTTACATATTTTTCATTTCACAATTTAGTAATTTACCAGTTAATTAAATTTGTTTAACTTCATTTATTTTGGTTTCAAGGCCTTCTTTGTGCAGTATTTTGAGAATGTTGATGATTGATACTGAAAAGAAAAGCTTACCAAATCTTGTCAGTATTTCAATGATCCAGTTAATGGGAAAAGGCATAGATGTCATAGCCGCTTAGGGATTAATCCGGAAAAAAACTTGATTATTGAATTAATCTGCGAGTCGCAGGATCGTCATTAGATTTGGCCAGACCATCCACTCGTATCCTTTTCAATTCAACTAGAAACTCAACCAGATCAGGATCCAGTTTTATGGGTCGACAAGAACAAGATTACCATCCATCTATCCTCCAAAGATTGTGAAGATGCCTGGAAGACAGAAAAGTAAGAGTGGGAGAATAAGGGGAAGAAAACAGTGATGTGAAGATGTCCGGAGAGGATAGAAAAATGACTAGTCAGAGGAGTCATTTTTATTACAGGCTGATACGACTGCAAATCTACAATAAGAATGGGGAAGCTGGGGTGAATGGCTGAAACATGGAAAGGGAAAGGTATTGATACGACTACAGATCATAGGAGGCCCTTAGTAGCCGTAAACTTCAGGCGTTTGTGGTGAAGCTGCACAAACCAGTAAAGATCTGTCATCTTCAAATTCAATATTGTAGGACAAGGAGGACACATTTGATGGGGTTATGACAGTAGAGGATGGAAAATTAATTTCTCCACCAACCAATCTTTTATATGCTGAGGACTGAGATGATGAAGCTATGGGTTGCAAACGAGATTGTAAATTATAATTGGGTATCTTGTGACATTGGGGATTTTAGGGTTCGGAGAGGTGTGAAGAAGAATTGGGAATTCGCAGACTTGTATTATAGCAAATAGTTATAGTATAGTACTGCCTATAACAAATTCAGAATGAACACCTATATTGTGGCAAACACACTGTAAACTGCAACAAAATCAGTGTTACATCTGCTAGTTAAATGTTTTCATTTAAATGTATATCAACTAACATTGAGATTCCTAAGGTTTCCCTGCAATAAAAAGAAAATTATCAAAACATAACATCGGTTCTGAATCATTTATATGTTCCAAAATAAATCACACTCAAAATCATAAATCATAGTATGAAATATATTGCTGTGCATCTTTTGAGGATATTATTGTAGCAAAATTTCAGCATGATTTATTACAAATCCAAGTTGAAAGATTTGACTAGATTGGTATCTTTTGGTTGGTACACAATCTTTTTAAACATGAGTTTAAGCTTGTCATGTTGAACCATTTCTTCTAGAATTCTATCCTTTTTATCTTCTGCGATATCAAATACACCTGTCTGATGATTGCTACTTCTGTTTGTGCAATCAAACACTAGCTTTGACAATCGCTCTTTCTCAACTTGGCAAAAATACTTTTCCTCTTCCATTGTCCCTGAAGTAATGAGATGGTAAATATAGACAACTTTCTCTTGCCCTAGCCTGTAGGCGCGACTGATGGCTTGCCTTTCCACTGATGGGTTCCACAAAACATCAAGCAAAACCACTCTTGAAGCACCAACAAGATTTATCCCTTCAGAACAAGCTCTAGTTGATGCGAGCAACACTTTTGCATTACTACTTGCATTGTTAAAATGCTTAATCAATGTTTGACGTTCATCTATTTTAAGCTTTCCATGCATATATAACATATCTTCTCCTTGGATCCAACTGAAATTTAACTCAAGCTGCTTGATTACCAAGTTCAGTGGCTCAAGATATTGACTGAACACCAGAACTTTCTCATTCCTCGCCTGGCAAAGCCGAATGAGTTCCATAAGAAATTTTGTTTTGATTCCAGCCTCAGGTTTTGATCTAAGCATTTCTAACTCCATCCGATCAACAAAGTCCAGGGTTCCAACTGATTTCTCTGGCAACAGAGAAGGGTGTACAGAAAGCACAGACAACGAATATTCCATCTCAAAATGATCCAGGCCATTAATTTGCTTAAAATTTTCAAGAAGGGTCTTCTGCAAATGGACTGGCTGTAAGATAACCACAGAGTCCCTCAATCCAGGGAGTCTTTCTCGTAGCACACCACCCTTGTGTACATGCACAAATTGCCAAATCATCTTTCTAAGCTCTTCGACCCTCTGAGCTTCCAGTTTATGGTCAGTGACTTTGCCAATCGCAGTTGTCAAGGAGGCCCAATTCCTTCTCGCATCAGTATTTCTCTTGCAATCACGCCTTTTAGGAAAAGCTCTATGGTGTTTGGACGAGATCTCTTCTGCAAATTTAGGCTTTACCAAGCACAGTGTGTTGTAAAGCTCATCAAAGTTATTTTGGAAGGGTGTTCCTGAGAGTATAATCCGTTTTTGTGTTCGGACCTTCGACAAAGCTTTCCAGATACGACTCCTGTCATTTCGAGGTGTATGTCCTTCATCAAGGACTAAAAGACCAGGAAGTTCAAGAAGGACTTTCCTTACCTGGTCATCTTCAGTCTTATCTGATACTTTGGTTTTACTCTTTTCTTCACCAACAAGTTCTTCAAAAAGTCTGTAACTGATCCCCAGGATACTCCTCTCCTTTTTCCAGGAATATAATTTCACCATGCGGATGGCATTTAAACCACGTTCTGCAGGTTTAAGTTCCCTGAAAAGATCCATAGCTGTCCTATTTTCTTTTCCAGAAAGATTTTTCTTGTTCATAATGTGAAAGGGAATGTCGACCCCCCACTTCAAAAACTCTGCTTCCCATGTAAGGAGCATGCTGCAAGGAGCAACTATTACAGGCCTGCTTGTTGGATATAATTGCATATATGTCTGGAGAAACACTATGGTTAGGCGGGTTTTCCCAGTCCCAGGAGCATGGGATATAATGCATCCTGTCCCACCATTTAAGTTAGAATTGTCTTTCAGCTTGTCAAGATAAATACCTCCAGCTATGTTTTTCCACAGAAACTCAAAGCCTTCACGCTGATGTCCATGCATACCCTTTCCAATACCAGGAATTAAGTTCCACACCGTGCCTTGCGCAAGAGTGCAAGGATCATAATCAGGATGTGTGCCACGACCAGAATCTTGGTGATGGAGATCATTGAAGATATTGTGTTGCATTGTCACGAAGTCTCTCCTAGCTGATTTCCCCCTAGGATATCTATCCTGCAGCACAGACACAGACAGTCAACATTTCAGAAATCAAATGTTATATGAGCAATTTCTACTAAGAGATTATAGGAAAATAGAATAGAATGCATAATATTTTTTAAAGAAAGAATAAAGCATCAATTTCAAATGAAATATTATTCTGTGCTGTCAAATTATTACATCAAAGAGTCAGAATTGGGCATGTGCGTACAGGCAAAAACTCATCTATGCTTTGGAAAATCATTACATAGGCCACAAATACAGTACAGTTTCAACAAGAAGTGGCCTTGGAAAACAGTATTCCTACCCATTGGCTGATTATTTTTAGTAACCAGAAAAAAATACTTCAAAACAAACAACCATTTGACATTAGGCTCATAATTCATTTATATAAAAAGGTTGACAGAGAGTTGGTCAGACATAGACTAGGCCAAAGAGCTGCATTTTCAAGTCAAAGTAGTCAGGTAAGCAAGACAATTGCAAAGCACATTTCTTATTACCTTCAACAGCTAGTAGACCAATCTAACTTTGATGAATAAGGCAGATTGCTATGAATTCAATCATCATGCGTTAATGCAGCAATATAAACTACTAATCATGAACAAAATGAAGATTTATTCAGGATGACAAGACTTACAAAAGGGGGCACATGGTATTTGATTTCCAAATCCACAAAAGAGCAATATTTGCACAGA